TGGGTCCGAAATTCTTGAATTTAAAAAGAGAATGAAGTGTATAAATACTAATTATTAATATTTATTCAATACAAAAAATAAATTTTTGTGTATCATTGGAGATATTTTTATTATCTTTTATAAATTTAAATATAATTTTTTTTCATGATTATATTTAATGTTATTAAACTTAGATTGTCTCCTACTAGATTTTTTTAAAAAATAAGTTGAAGTTGATCCCACGGTTTACTCACTAAGTGAATTACTTCGTCAAAACTTAGTTTAATTTTAAAAAAATTCCCTTCAAAACGACGTGGTACAGGCAGTAACCGCGTGAAGTTTGCTTGTATCAAAACTATCATTATATAAAATGTTACGTGGTTGAATTATTGGCAGCTCAGGCGTGGAAAGAGCCGGAACCAAATAAACGAGCTTCTATATTTTTCTTGTTTCCCTAAAAAATAACCATGGAAGTTTCGTTACGACACGCATAAAGCACGCGTGTGCGATGCCCCCCCCTCATTATGTGCTTCCTGTTGTTTCCTTCCCTTCTCTCTTTTTAAATTTTATGATCATTCCAATACTCTATATATTTTTTTCACACATTTTATTTTATTTTGAACTTGCCGTCTGTTATTTGTTTTTATAATATTTCTACCTTTTTCTCTCTTTTCTTTCCGAAAAACAAAAAGAAGAAAAGTCTACTAAAGCCAGTCGAGTCGAGTTCTCAAAAACTCTATAAATACCCAAGGTCACCTCGCTTCTTTTCTTATAACTACCAGCGCCACCCATTTTTACTTTCCTTTCGGCAAAAGCTACCTCATCTCTCTGTCTCTCTGTCTCTCTCTCTCTCCCCACTCTTCTTTAACTGCCAAACAACAAAAAGTTCAAAAGCAGTAGCAGTACAGTACCTAACAGAACATCCCTCGTGATTCTCTCTAAAAATCTTCTCACATGAAAATTGACCACAACTCCGCCACCTCTGCCACCAACGGAGGTGACACTACCATCTGCAGGACTATCGAAGTGGCAGGGGTTTCGAAGTGGCAGTTTTTGACCGCCGCGATCTCAGTCCACCTCCGGTCGTCGCTTCTCCTTCTCCGGTTGTCGGAGACGAGCTCAATCTTATTCCACCTCTAAACTTTGCTATGGTAGATAATGGCATCTTTAGGTCTGGTTTTCCTGACTCTGCTAACTTCGCTTTTCTCCAAACTCTCGGCCTCCGCTCTATCATGTAAGCATTTTCTTCTTACTTTTCAGTTTGTTTTTTTTTTTCCTCGTATGATATGGATTAGTGATGCTAGGGTTTTTTTTTCAGATGTCTATGTCCTGAGCCGTATCCAGAGGCGACCACGGAGTTTCTAAAGGATGGTGGAATCAGGCTCTATCAATTTGGGATCGAAGGTTACAAGGTATTTAAGCTAGATCAATCGTCGTTTTGAATCTGATTTTTTTCAAGTGGTGGCTTTGGAGTTCACGTAATGATCTCGATCTTTCATTAATTTTTTTATTTGATAATGAAATTTAATTAGAATTAAATAGAGAATTTTATTCAATGTGGCCAAGTGGGGACATGGAATATTAGGAGATTTTAGAAGATGTTTTTTTCATGAGGTCCTGGGTTACTGCATTATTCACAACTTTTTTTTTTTTATATGTATATATCAGAAGCCGTTCTTTTCTCTTACTCGTAAGGTGATTGTTCAGAGAAAGAAAAGTATGGCTGTAATCTCTATCTCGGAGTTTCTTACATGTGGGTAGTCCTATGCTTTCTATATATTTCAGAAGTAGCAGCAGTTATGTATTTGACAAAAAGGAAATCATCAAAATAAGAAAAATTGAAAAAAAATGAGAATCACTGTAATACAGAATCCTTTCAGGTGGTAGACATGTGAATTTATTCTTGTTTTTTTTTTTTTCCCGAATGATTAATTATACATGTGAATTTATTCTTGTTTTTTTTTTCCCGAATGATTAATTGTCACCTGCAGTTTTTCATTGAATTGTGATGACTGTAATATCTGATTTTGACAATATGCAATGCACTTATTAAATTCGGTGGAGACCAAGTTTCTTGTTTTTGCTATACAGGTTTTTAATTATATCCAACACTATTGATGACCTTGATTGTTTCTTATGCAAAATTATGTTTTTATACTATCTTGTTCCTTCTAGCACTTTATTATAATATTTTTTTCATTTTGGTATTTTTCATTTTATTTTTTCAAAGCCCGAAATCTATTTTGTTACTTACTATTATTATTTTTTCCCGAAACTAGTTAAATTGTGGAAGAACTTTTGAAACCTTTTTTCTTTCTATATTTTTTGCTCTGAGGCGTTGCCAAAATTTTGATACAGTTCGAAGGCATGACTATTAAGCTCTTTCTCTAAATTCTTGCAATTGAAGCATCCTAAGATTGTTGGTATTTGTGGTTGAGATGGAAATAAGTAAACAAGAAATACTGACATTTAGGATCATGAATATGTTATCGTCAAATGGAAACACAAATCATGGCTACTATTATAGAACATATCCGAATCAGGTGAATCTAAATCTAATTCCTTTAGGGAATTGTGTGTACAAATCCACAGGTCCCTTCTGGCATCTTCAGGCCTTTTCGAAGAGTTACGAAGTTTTTTAGTATTTTCTTTTCAAAAAAAAAAAAAATAGTTGCCAAGTTTGCAGATGATCATACTGGTCTCTACTTCAACTGGAACATCAAGAAATAACCTATAGATGAAATGTAAAGAGGCTGGATCAGTTCTTATGCTTTTGAATTTTAATTTGATACACAATTGGATTGGTTAATATGCCTGTGTGTGAAGTAAAATCATCTTTTATGCGCATTCAAAACATTTAATACCTAGTCAGAGAGTTTGTCAAAAAAAGAAGAAAGTGGATCTGTTGTCAACTCTACTTGCAATTAGTTACTGATTGTTAGCACATCTATATTAACAAAATTGTATGCTCCAATAACTGATTTTGTTTAGAATTCAATATTTTATGGCTTGAATGGGTATTAGCTCTTCTGAAACTCTTCAAATTTGAATAGATTTTTGTTGATTTACCATGAAATTGTCTGGCTCTGGAGTTCACAACTTTTTATACCAGTAACTTAGGTCTACAACTTCTAGATAGTTGTCCTTCCAGAGATGCAGTGTCCTTGGCTTCAAAAGAGAATTGTTTTTCTGCTATAAAAAGCATTTTTCAGCATTTTGTTTATTCATTCTTAACATACATGTATGTAAGCAGCAAGGAGCTCAAAAATGTGAGAGAAATTTGTATAACCTAATTGTTGTCTTAGGTTAATGGCTATCGGTAGTGCATGACTACAATCCAATTCTAATTGTTGTCTTAGGTTAATGGCTATCAGTAGTGCATTTAGTACAGTTTACCTCATTTCATGTTTGTTTATGTGTGTTTTTTGTCCATCTGCTAAAGTGCAATATTATAGATGTCTTCTGTGGGTTCGCATTTTTTATGAGATTGCTTTTGCTTAATTTGAATCAGAAGTTAGATTATCAAATACTCTCTACCTTCCATCTATCATTATACACCCTAGTGGTATTCAAAATTACCAACAACTCAAATAGATTTCTAAAATGCACCCTGATTCGAATTAGCACACGGAACTGCCCCCTACATGTCTCACAGATGCACATGTGCGTATAACGTTCCCGGACCCTGTACCGTGTTCCGAACACTAACAAGCATGAAACTGAATGTCTACTGGCTATACTGTCTTGCTTCCGATAAGGGCAATGCTCGAAGCACGCTATAGTCATATTATGGTAGTGGCGAGCCAGAAAAATTCTTGCATGCCAGTAATCCTTATGACCCGGTGCATGAACAATTGGATAAGGGCATAGTGTATATTTGGTCCCTGTGAGATGTCTTTTCCCAAAATAGTTTCTAGGTCAAAACAAACACATACTGTAATTTTGATTTGACCGACACAACACCAAATCATGTTACAAGGCTTCCCTTGTGTGTGTGGCTTGTACAAAAAGTCAGAGATTGTCAATTAGTACATAGAATCAGTAGAGAAATTAGGACAGGTTTGATGAAATTTGTGCATCAGTTGCATGTTTGTCTCAAAGAATAACACTGGAGGTAACTATTTTCATGGTTAATGTTTCTTTTTATTGATTATATTGGGGGTCTTGGAAGAGGTTTTCTCTGCTGCCACGTGATGTTTCAATTATGCATCCAGGAGCCATTCGTGAACATCCCAGAGGATACAATTCGTGAAGCACTGAAAGTGGTCCTTGGTAATGCAAGCACACCCAAACTATCTTGTTATATATCTGTCTTGGTTAATTGCTATTATTTGAGGGATATAAAACTATCCTTTCATGTTTGTTTCCAATGCAGATGCAAGGAATCATCCAGTTTTGATTCATTGTAAACGAGGAAAGGTATGTCCTCTTGTGGTTTCTCGGAGTTCTTACTTGATTCTAGGGTCAACACCTTCTGAGTTAAGCTTGCTTTTCTTATATCCAGCACCGAACTGGTTGTCTTGTGGGTTGCCTGAGAAAATTGCAAAAGTGGTGTCTCTCATCCATATTTGATGAGTATCAGCGGTTTGCAGCTGCAAAGGCTAGGGTTTCGGATCAAAGGTTTATGGAGTTGTTTGATGTTTCTACCTTAAAGCATATGCCAATGTCATTTTCATGCTCGAAGAGGTAAACCACTACCTGGACTAAATTGTTCTTGCTTATCTTTTCTTTGTTAGTGGAAGAGAATTCTAGGTCCTGCTTTGGAATGAATAGGAAAGGTGATGAGTTTCTGGATCCATTTCTGCGGCAGAAGGAATAACTCTCGAGGGTAGGGGGCATGTCGTACACATCCAGCAACTATCAATCTGGATTTCTGCTTCAAGCTCTTAGTTAGCCTGTCTCAAGGTCTTAGATGACGATGAATTCTGAATATGAATAAAACAACTCCTGCTCTCCTCACCCTTACCCGCTCCAGCCAATGATTATTTCAGGCCAGGCAGAGTGTACAATGATTTCGAGCAGCTTAGTCAAAGATGGAAAGAAAAAGATTTTCTCCGTTTTATGTACTTTAACAAATAATAGAATCATTGAAGCAATTAGATTCCATTAATGCTTAGCAGTGTTGCGTGATAGATCTTACTGTCTCTGGTGTAATATATATACGGCATGCTAATGATGGGATGGATGTTAGACCTGTGTACAAACTTCCAAGAAAAAAGAAAAAAGAAAAAGAAAAAGAAAAAGAAAAAGAAAAAGAAAAAAGAAACATAGCGCTTCTGGTGATTGTTGGAAGTTCTTGCTGGGCGATAAATTCATGTCAAATAGAGGGATATGATTATCATGCTCAGGTTTGGCTTCCAGCTATTTGCAGAGGATATTATTGGTGAACAATAACCTAATTGCAAATCTTTTGAGATCCTTGAGAAACATTATTGGTGAACAATAACCTAATTGCAATTCTTTTGAGATTATCCTTGAGAAGCATTAGCTGCGGGCTTCTCTTGTAAAGCAAATTGTAATACTTGAAGATTTTAACAGGCAAGCAGGGCTCGTGTATTTTTCAGAAATTTCAGCGATGGGTTATGTTGTCCAGTGCTCGAGGAATACTCTGGACCGAAATGGATCTTGAGTCAAGAAAGCCCATCCATTTGGTGTTTTTCCACCATGGGAGGCCGCTCTGGAGGATAAGAAGGCATAAAATACCTTTTGCCTATAAGGTATTGTATGCTACCCAACTTATTTTACAACCTACGTATAGTTGGAAATTACATTATAAAACCGTCTTAACACTTTCCAGCAAGCGCTTGGGCAGTTCACCGCATTTTCCCCATGAAATTAGTTACTTCTAAGACGCCTTGAGCCCTGTCCCACATCAGTCAACAAGTCGTCCAAGGTCTAGCTAGTTTTCCTCCACAAGTATTGGTCATGCTTGTAATTACCGAGTACTTTGTTGTAACTTCCGTGGTTTGCCACCCATAAAATAACTAGCCAATTGCTAACACCACTGCTGCTAGAGTTACTGTGTTTCCGCTTGACTTGGATAGTTTGTCCATGCCCACGTTTGTGCCAACATGAACCCATTGCCCACACAAGCTATTGCACGTTGTCTATAGATTTCAACAATGTTCTCGTGGTTTGCCAGTGCCTAAGGTATCTTCCAGGTAATGTGTTTGTTGTCGCACCATTGCACCTAGATCACCAGAAGATTTCAATAATTTCATTGAAATAGAGTCGGGTATTCTTGTACTTTGTTTTCAAATGGTCATAAATTTAGGTCTTTCTCCCACAAACCTCCTGGTTCTAATCCCATTTCACCAAAAACTTGGTTCGTCGATTTTTTTATGTTGGCCAAGTTTACGGTGATCTAGGATTTTGACAATTCTATTATCAAATTGTTTTGAATTTGTCGAGGTGTATGTTGTGACTTACTTTTCTTTTGGTTCTCCTTATCTAGTTCACATGAAATGCAGGATAAAATTTCAGTCTTGGCTAATTTCAACCTATATGCTATTATTCCCATCTATTCCATAACTTCAAATGACCCATAACTTTGAACCAATACTTGATGCCTAGTTTTGCGAATGATTTTCTTTCATATTTGCAAGGTTAACTTAAGTAACATATCATCACCTTTGTTAAACTTCATATTTTTATATATATTTATTATCTTTACTCAATTTATCTTGAGCCTATTCAAACAACTCTTGCCTCTCTTTTGCAAATTTACATGTAAGTAAACTCTTTCCACCAATAGATTTGCCTTCATTGTAAATGGATTTACCTTCATTGTAGAAGACTTATGAAAGTCCTAAAAAAAATCATCATCCAACTACTCAAATCAATTCTTTTGCATTGTAATCACATGATACCTTAAATATTTCTCAAATAAGGTGTTATGTCTTTCTATCTATCTATTGATTTAAGGATGATTAATAATAAAGAACTTTAACTTAGTTCCCATTAAGTTAAACAATATTGTCTATAGTTTGCTTGTGAGTTGCACATCCTAATCACTAACAATGTTTGATGGAACCTTAATGTATTTCAACATATTTAGGTTAAACAATCTAACAGTTATCTCAACAATGAATACTATTAAAATAGTAATGGATACTATATATTTGGTAAACTTGTCTTTGACCCCCGTTACAACATCCATACATAAAACAATATAATCCATCAAAACTAATACCTATAATTTTTTTGGTATAGGTAATGTCTGTTATATGTCTGCAACTTTTTGGTGTATCACCTATCTTATAAGCATACATTAAATATCTACATGTATAACTCTATTTGCTCCTCTATATTTTGCTAATAATAAGTTTATGATAAGAGAGCTACCATTCTTTTCCTTCCCAAATGAACTTGCCATTATAGGTCATAAGTCTCCATCATTAAATGTTTCATTCACTTCCCTCTAGGCATATATTTGACATTTTATTGTATAAATAGGATATTTTGCAACCAATACATTCATATTTTTTTTTATATGACATTAATTAGTTTCATACAGGTAATGTCTTCTTAAATAATTTAGTGTAATCTCTTCAACTTTCATATTTTATTTATACAACAACAAATAGAATAGCCATAACCTTCCATTAGTTGGAGCATCAACAACTTAAATAAGTCACCTGGTGTATGTTCTTATATAAAATCTTTTTTGGCTAGAAACTCCTACCATTGAGCATGCTGCTATGACAACTTCTTCAAAGTTTTTTTTTTTATATAAAAAAAGTATTCATCTCATTAGCCATCTTTATTGTAACTTTATGTTCTAATAAATACATTCTCCAAACACTAAAATAATGCACAATCACAATCATTGGAGAAAAATTTTATATTATGAAAGCTCAATAACATTTAAAATAGTGTTGTTAGTATTAGTTTGTTTTTATCCCTAAAAAAGATCATAACTAAGAAATTACTTTTGGCTTTGGCCAATTTAGAATAACATATGCTTTTCTAGGATCCATCCCCACCTAACCCTTACCCATTATATGATCGAAACCTTGCAAACTCTCTCTCTCTCTCACACACACACACACACACACACACACACACACATATATATATATATATATATATATTTAACATACAATTTATATTCCTTTATTATACTTAACACTTTTGAAAGATGTGTTATCTGATCTTCCATACTCCAACTATAAATCACAATATCACTTATTTAGATTAAGGTAATATCATCTAAGTAATCATACAATATATGATTATTAAGTTGCAAATTATACCTAGAGTATTAGTTAAACAAAAAAGTATAAACAAAAACTTATATGCATCATACATTGTTACACATATAGTTTTATGATGCTCTCCCTCAACAATCCTTACTTGCTAAGAACTTAATTGTTTGTAAAAATGGACACTTCTCTTATCATGTCCATCAAATCTTGAATTAAACGCGCTTTAAATTTATTCTTGATGGTAACCTTAATTAGTGCTTGATAATTGACACACATCCTAAGGCTTTTATTTGCCTTATTATGAAATAAAACAAGGGTATCATATAGAGTTTTGGAAGGATGAATGAATCTAATACCAATAAACTCTTTCAATTGTTTCTTTAATCTAATAATGATTTGTAGTATAAAAAGGTGGTGTCACTCTTAGTACCATTTTAAATCAATGATCATTGTAGAAGTTCTTTTAACAACTTTAGAGGCATCAAATCTTTATACCACCTAAGAACTTGTGCAATAATACTTCATCTCACCACACTAGTTTGATTTCTCAAATGCTATTATTATAAAAAACACCTCCCTATAATTTCTCAAAGCTTTATCAATATCAAAGCTTGAAACCATGATTTTCCCTTTCTTATTATTATTAGCCAGCAAAAATTTATAACAATGAACAAAACAAGGACATACCTTATTCATAATCATGATGTTGTCAAGGTATGACATAGAGCAACCTTTGTTTTCTTTCAATAATCCATGCCAAAAATGATGTTGAATTCATCCAAATTCATCACCAAAATATCTTGTTTCCCCTATAATTAGTCTATAACTAAAGATATATTTATTTAAACCTAATTTTTTACCCCTAGTTTTTTAAAATATTTTCAAAATTGGATTTTTTTTAAAATAAAATAATACTTTCACAATAAAAAATCAATAAAATAGTGTTGTTTAAATAACAATACTAATAACAATCAAAGCATAAGATTTTCCAGTTTGGGGTTAAATTGGATAAATGATTACAATTTGAAAGGTCAAGGGTTAATTTTGAACAGGTAAAAATACTCAAAAGTAACTTGGAGTGTAATTAGTGGCTTAATTGAAAAGAAAATTAAAAAAAATGGTTGAAATTAGCTTAAATATAAAGAATTAAAAGGTCAACAACCAAAATAAAAAAGGTGGTAAAGTGTAAGGGTCTTATTAATTCAATCAAGGATTTTAAGAGAAAAATTAAAATTTAGGGTTAATTTAACCAAAAACATTTAAATTAAAGAACCAAGGACTTCATTGAAACATATGGAAAAATAATAGGGCTAAATTAAATCAAATTAGGGAAAAATTAATCTAAAGATAAAAGTCAAATTTAGTTCAAATTGAAAATTTACAAAACCAAGGGCTAAAACCAAAAAAGTACTAAAGTTCTAAGACCAAATAGGATTAAAAAATAGCATTGTTTTGTTCTAATTAAAATCTCTAATCTAAGCAATGGTTGAAACAATGATATATGTTTTAAATGAAATAATTATTTTTATATGAAACAACATCATTTCATTAATCAGGAGAAAAAATAATAAAAAAATAGAAAACATTGTTATTTTGAAGGCTATGAACAATGCTTTTATCATTTTCATGACTTAGCTATAAATGATAAGGGTTAAACCTTTTCTAGGGAAATAATTTGGAGCTTTTTACCATTGGAAGAACATTCTCAACTTTCCCTCTAACACAACACTTTTAATCCCAACTTGTTATGTTTATCTTTCAACCTCAAAATCATTGTACTATAAACCAAAAAAATCTTTGACCAAACTAGACAAAACCCAACAATACATAAAAAATAGGTGAGTACCTTACTTTTCCAGTTTGCAGCTTAGACAAGGACAAGTGTGAACCAATGGTTACGATAACTTTTCAAAGATTAAGGACTTTTATCCCACTAGATTAAGAACTCTAATAACCTCACTTTTACCTATAAATAAGACCTAAAACCTACAATTAATAATGAAAGAGGAAAATGAAAATGAAAATCAATTGTTTCTTTAATCTAATAATGATTTATAGTATAAAATGGTGGTGTCACTCTTATTACCATTTTAAATCAATGATCATTGTAAAAGTTCTTTTAACAACTTCAGAGGCATCAAATCTTTATACCACCTAAGAACTTATGGAATAATACTTCACCTCACCACACTAGTTTGATTTCTCAAATGCTATTATTATAAAAAACACGTCCCTACCATTTCTCAAAGCTTTATCAATATCAAAGGCTGAAACCATGATTTTCCCTTTCTTATTACTATTAGCCAGCAAAAAATTATAACAATGAACAAAACAAGGACATACTTTATTCATAATCATGATGCCGCCAAGGTATGACATAGAGCAACCTTTGTTTTCTTTAAATAATCCATGCTAAGGATGACGTTGAAGTCATCCAAATTCATCACCCTATAATCAGTCCATAACTAAAGACATATATATTAAAACTTAATTTTTTACCCCTAGTTTTGAAAAATATTTTCAAAATTGGATTTTTTTAAATAAAATAATACTTTCACAATCAAAATTCAGTAAAATAGTGTTGTTTAAATAAAAATACTAATAACAGTCAAAGCATAAGATTTTCCAGTTTAGGGTTAAATTGGACAAATGATTACAATTTGAAAGGTTAAGGGTTCATTTTGAACAAGTAAAAATACTCAAAAGTAACTTGTAGTGCAATTAGTGGCTTAATTGAAAAGAAAATTTAAGAAAAAGGTTGAAATAAGCTTAAATATGAAGAATTAAAAGGTCAACAACCAAAATAAAAAAGGTGGTAAAGTGTAAGGGTCTTATTAATTCAATCAAGGATTTTAAAAGAAAAATTAAAATTTAGGGTTAATTTAACCAAAAACACTTAAATTAAGAAATCAAGGACTTCATTGAAACATGTGGAAAAATATTAGGGCTAAATTAAATCAAATTAGGGAAAAAATTAATCTAAAGATAAAAGTCAAATTTAGTTCAAATTGAAAATTTACAAAACCAAGGGCTAAAACCAAAAAAGTACTAAAGTTCTAAGACCAAATAGGATTAAAAAATGGCATTGTTTCGTTGTAATTAAAATCCCTAATCTAAGCAATGGTTGAAACAATGATGTATGTTTTAAATGGAATAATTATTTTTATATGAAACAATATCATTTCATTAATCAGGGGAAAAAAAAAATAGAAAACATTGTCATTTTGAA